TCAGCATCGCATTAGTATTAATATCCGGGATACTCACCAGCCGAGAATATCGCGGGCTTTCCGATGGACGAAAAGTGTCTCCACGCTTATCCTCAGGGGCACGAACGCGGCTGGGACACCCAAGCAGAATAAGCACCGAATCCCAGCGTCCCAAGATAATCCGGGGTTAGACGGCAATTATTGCAAAGATCAGAACACGAAACCTGCAATAATAGCAACAGTTACACGTCGGGTGGAATGCCTGAAATAGGACGAGCTCCACTGACACTGCATCCAACGGGCGGATGGGGAAACAAAATGAAACCCATCGCCAGTTGCCGTTTTCCCCAGAGATTTGCTACACTTAATTTGCTGTAGTCCTCTGCCGGTGTACTGTACTATTTCGACCGTGGGTTCACGGTATGTCACCCGTAACCTTACATGTTCATTCCTCGGCAATCACATCAAAAAATCTCCCGTCATCGTCACCAGCTAGTGTTGCCGGTGTTCGGTTCAGAACCGATTCCGAACCTGAACCGAACACGAACCGAACCCCAATTCAGGTTCGGAGGCCGCAGAAAAACCGGACCGGACCGCGGGTCAGGTTCGGGGTTCGAGGATTGTTGAAATTTGCTGAACCTGTGTGAACCTGTGCGAACATGTTCGAACCCGTAATTTTTTTCTCTCCTATCAGCTGTCTTTTGGTGAAGATTTCGTGTTCGGCATCTATCATTTTATTCTGTGACTTCCAATAACGCTGACTGCTCCCGTTCAATATGAGAATTCCTGCATCAGGGCCAAAGTCCAAGTTCACAAAAGCAAGGACATCGCAACCATATGGGCTCAACACCTGCATCAAGCCCCTTTGCAGAACATTGACAATGTTGTGGCTTGGTGGGGGGTGAATGAAATTTTGACGTGTGTGCGAGGTATAATTTCTGATCCGTCCCATATTCAGCATCATTCCTCGCAGGATAAGACTGAGGAAAATATATTCTCTCAATGCGGTCCCATTTTGCAGTATCTGACGCTCGCGCGCATCGCAAGGGATTTTGCCATCCAGGGCTCTACCACCTCCTTTGAGAGAGCTTTTTCTAATGGCTCACTGCGCGTCGCAATCGGCTGGCCCGGAAATGTACTGCAACAGTCATGTTAGTGCTGTGGAAGAGGCCACAAAGCATGTCATCAAAGCCTTGTACGGCTTGGACAATGAGATTGATATATAGTTTTGCTTAGCTAGTCATGTATTTGCGCCGAAAATCGGCTGAAAAAAATTGGGGTTCGTTCAGGTCCGAACCTCTTCTGAACACGAACCGAACCCTTCCCGAACCTGACCGATGTCCGGTTCGGGGTTCAGAAAATTTGGGCGAACCGAACCTGAGGTCAGGTTCGGGGTTCAGATTTTTTGGCGAAAAACCGGACCTAACCGGACCTCGGCAACACTATTGACACCAGCACCAAATAGGTAGACTCGTGAACCAGTCGGTGTCGCAGGCTTACAAGAAAGAAAATCGGCGGACGGACCAGATTAGGATAGAAACCAAACATGCCAAGAGATCTTGCGCAAATATTGATGGTGTGATGGGCGGGTAAGCCTGCTAACCGACTGGGCCCACCTGTCGCTGATTTGGGTGATGGAAATCCTTCCGCCATTTAAGAGGTGCGGACTTAGACAGAAATGTCCAAAATGTTTAAAAAAGTGCTCAAAGTGTATAGATGAAAGATGAATCATTTTCGATTCTCTATCGAACGAGCCTAACATGTTTTTTGGGTATAATTATGAGCTGTACACTAGTAGGGGTCGTCTGAGCCGTCTGAATCATCCCCGGACTCCTCGTACTCGCTCTCCTCATCGTCACTATCCAGCGACCAGTCGCAAACATCCATATCCAAAGATACATCGGCAGCGGTCAAGCGCATCAGCGTGGGAGAGGCCAAAAATAAGTCATCACCGGCATCGAGCTGGCGCTCCTCTTCGTCGCTGTCGGGGGTATCAGCGCGGACGATGTCAGCGAGGGCATTGTCTGGCACATTACCACCAGCAGCAGAGTCGACGGGAGGAGATGGGAAGCCTTGCGCAGGGGACTCGTCCAAAGGGGAAGAGTCGCGATCGAGCAGTGAAAGAAGGTCGGCCACTGGCGTTAGGCCACGGCGCGCGCGGAGGATTTCGAATTGCTGATTGAATTCAGCAAGCGGGGTTGTCGAAGCGCCGTGGGTGAGAGCAGCCATGCCAACAGAGAGGATGTCAGGGACCGGCTTCTCGTCGTCATCGAGCACGCGTCCGTGCTGCAGCGTGTACACATCGTGCTCGTTGAGGCTGTCCATGAGCGCAGCAATATCCTCCTCCAAGTTGGGGATGGTGTGCTTGGAGCCTTGACGCGCCCCGAGGTCGGTGTGGATGCGGGTTGCGAGGCTCCGGAGAATGTCGACGCAAGGGGAGATAAGGGCAAGCCAATCCCACGAGTGGCTGTCCCCATCCGCCTTGTAGATTTTCTGCCCAGTCGCGTCAGCTATCAACCGCGCGGAAAACAGTGTATAATGTACCTTGATCCAAAAATTTAAATGCTCTTGTACGAGATCAATTTCAACGAAACTGTTCACCTTGCCGGTAGGATTCAACAGCCAGTTCATCATAATGACATGCCTGCGAACGCAATAAGTCCCCGCTTAATGAATAAATAGAATAAGACACGCACCGAAGCTCCTTCGTCCAGACGCAGATGAGGTTGTGCAACAAGTGCAGCATCTCGTGGGCGTACTTGGACCGACCGCTGCCCCGATAGGAAAAGACCCACATGCGAAGTATGAGGACGACGCGACCAGAGTCCCCGGCCTTGACAGCGTCAGTGAACTCGCGCGTGAGTAAAGCATCCCGAAAGAATAGAATCGCATTCTCAAAAACCATGTCACCCTTCTTGACGTGAGGGAGCGTACCGTCCGGCTTCTTGCCGTTGTTCGCAGCCTTTGCCTCTGCTTCCTGTTTGCGCTCATTGGGGATGCGCTGCTCCCGGAGTTCTTGTACGAGGTCCGGATCGGCATAGCTGCTATAAATATCCTTAGCGTGGCCGACGATTGCTGCCCAAGAGTTGACGGATGATGAATAGTCGTCGAGGGAGTCTTTTCCAGAGACGAGTAAGAGGCAGTGGAGGACGCGCGCATAGAGGGACACCATGATGAGATCACGGCAGGTGCGGAATGGGGGTAGCGATGTCAGGGTGATAGGAATCCGGTCGAGGCAGCGCATTGTGGTATTATGATATATCACGATGCTCTGATTAGAGAAGTGCAGTGATGTATCATCACCTGTAGGTTAGAGATCTGTGTGATATATTACCTTACAAGTTAGCCCATATGCGGAAGAACTAGCCCAAAAGGGTTGCAGTGGCGCTGCAGGGCGCATCGCTGAGCGGGTGGCTGTGCTCTGCCTGTCTAGGCTTGTGTATTGGGGCTGCCCGCGGGCTCGCGTGCGACGGGTATTGCGGCATACCATAGAAAGATTAGTAGGGAGGGCTCCCTTGAGGATAGGATGGCTGAAAGCCCTATGAGTCCATGCGGCCACCCGCAAACTGCAGGTATTAGGTGAGGGCGGCGTGTTTATCCTTGTTAGGGCCACCCACTCTTGCTTCCCACCTGCAGCGCCCTCGTTCTTGCCACCCTCCTGCTTCTCCCCTTCACTTCGTACTACAGCCACGCCTGCCCCGAGGTTGCCCCTCGCGTTTGACACCCACATCCCCCCCCCCCTGGCGCCTGGTTCACGCGCACCATTCGTTGTACCGCCCCCGCCACTCCCGCTGTTCCCGCTGCCCTTACGCATCCACAGCCGCAGCGCTACCCGGGGGAACCATCGGAGACCTCCAACCTCCCCTTTGGTGCCACGCTCATCCCTGTGCGCCACCTGGTTCGCGCACACCGCGCCTTTTTCCACCCCCGCCGCCCCCGGCGTTCCCGCCGCCCTTCCGCAGCTCGCAGCTCCAAAGCCACCCCCGGGCATCATCGGGGACGAGGGCTCACGTCGTTTGGTGCTGCCCTTTTCCGCTCACACGCTCTCATCCCCGCGCGCCAGCCACTTTACCGCTCCCGCCGCCCGCGGCGTTCGCGCCGCCCTTCCGCACCCCCCAGCATCAGAACCACCCCGGGTCATCATTGGGGACGTTCATACCCCTCCTTGGTGCCAACCTCGCCCGCCCACGTTGCCTGGTTCCCGCGCGCCATTCGCTGTACCGCCCCCGCCGCCGCCGTCGTTCCCGCCGCCTTTCCGCACCCCAGCTCAAGCGCCGCCCCGGGGCATCATCGGGGACAACCACCCCCGTTGTTTGGTGCCGACCTTTCCCACTCACGGCCCTTCATCCCCGTGCGCCAGCCACTTTACCGCCCCCGCCGCCCCCGGCGTTCCCGCCGCCCTTCCGCAGCCCACAGCTCCGGAGCCACCCCGGGGCATCATCGTGGACGACGGCCCACGCCGTTTGGTGCCACCCTTTCCCGCTCACGGGCCCTCATCTCCGCACGCCATCCACTTTACCGCCCCCGCCGCCCCCGGCGTTCGCGCCGCCCTTCCGCACTCCCCAGCACCAGAATCACCCAGGGTCATCATTGGGGATGTCCATACCCCTCCTTTGGTGCCAACCTCGCCCGCCCACGTTGCTTGGTTCCCGCGCGCCATTCGTTGTCCCGCCTCCACCCTTCGTCCTTCCGCACCCCAGCTCCAGCGCCGCCCCGGGGCATCATCGAGTACTCCTCCTCCTGTCGTTTGGTACCGCCCACGCCTGTCCTGGCGCGCGGAATCCCGCGCCCGCCCTGCTCCTCCCGCCGCCCCTGCGCGTTCCGCAGCACCAGCCCTGGCTCGGGGCAGCATTGGGGCATACCCCGCCTTGTTCAGGGGGCCTCGCGAATTCTTTTCTTTCCCCCATTTCCCTATACCATTCATTTTCTCACTCAGTTAGGGACTTAGATGATATTTTTTTTTGTTTCTAAAGTGACAATATGTTCTAATTATGACTTCCTGTAATCCATATGCTGGGAACGGTTATCTAGCTCAACGGTAGAGTGCCCGCTTAATGTGAGATACGTCCGATGTAGTTGACCGGGAGGTTGAGGGTTCGACTCCCTGGGTAGCCATCCATAGTTTTTCCTTAAGTTTTTTTGTTTGAAGCAGCGTACTTTTAAATACTCGTAAGTGTAGATAGACATAAAGAAAAAAAAGGGCCGCTGCGAGACTCGAACCCGCAATAACCCGAGGATAAAGCTCACTGCATCACTTTCAGCGGGGACTCTACCGTTGAGCTAGACGGCCATTTTACAGCATCTTCAAGTGATACACTACGTTGGCCAACCCTGCGTCCTCCAATTAAATAAATAAACTAGCTCAAAAACACAAGTCCGCGTACTACAATCATGAAGAACAAATATATGTATATACGAACTACACACCATGTAAACTACTACCACCATTCCTAGCCCTTACGCGCTCTGTATCATCAAGCTCAGTGTCGATCACCGCTCTATCCAACAAAACTCACCTTTTCGTGGGTACGCGATTCTCTTGTGTCTCCGCGACCCGCTTCTTCCCTGTTGTAAGGGCCTTCAGCAGCGCGTCGTCGGCCGCCTTCGCTTTTGCGTCGAGCGCATCGCTGCGCTCCTTCAGAGACAAGACCGCTCCTCGATTCACCGGCTCGTAAATGGTGCGTCGCGGCCGTCCGCTGGTGATAAAGAGATCGCTGGGGCCATCTGGATTGAGTACGGCGGCCTTTCTCGCCTTGGCCTCCCTCTCCTCCAGCGCCTCAGCGAGCTTCATCGCCTTCAATCGTGACCGGTTGTTATTTGTTGACGAATAGGTGAGGACCGGCGTCTGGTTCTCGCCCGCGACTCGGAGCTCCTCAGTCACCAGCGCCCTCCCTTCCTCAGTCCCCAACGCATGCCCCTCCTCTATTGATTTTGCTTTCCCCTTCGCCTTCGCCTTCGCCTTCGCCTTGCCCGGCTTGGCTTTCGCCACCCTCGCCGCCGCCAACTTTGTCGCACGCTCAGCCGCGGTGACTTTAGGCGGCTTGGGCGCATTCGCCATCGGCCGCGACTGTGGGTATACCGGGGGACTCCGTGGCCCAACCACTTGCGCCCCAGACGAGGTGTTCCGCACGGGCGACGGCCGCATACGGGGGGGCAGCGACTCTGTGGAAGGCGGCGTCACTGCCCGCGGCGGGAAGTTCGCTTGGAGAGGGGGACGCGTGAGGGGCGACGATCGAGCAGGGACGGACGACAAGTGCCGCGGGGTGCTTAATGACTGGGTGAGAGGGGAAGTCCGCGCAGGTGTTATTGTCGGCGCTGGGGTCCTCGCCGTCGCTGTCACCACCGACACCGATGTCGCTGGCGAACCAGGTGTCACCGCTGTATTGAGGACCACCCGCGCTGGTGTCGTCGGTGTAGATGCTGAGTTTGTTGTCCTTGGTGTAGCTGTGCACGACGGGGATCCCGCGGGACCAAGACGATATATCCCTGGCCGCCCGAAGCTGGGTGAGTCTGCAGTGTCTTGGTCCTTGAGAACAACGGGCAGCCGGGGCAAAGGGCGCGGAGTTGAAGACGCAGGCGAAGGCAGCGGCGATGGAGGCGGAGACGAAGGGCGGGCCATCCAAGACGACCCATACCCTGATCCAGAGCCAGAAGCCTCCAATCCGTTGCCAGGCACCCCGAATGCCAACGGCAACGCCAAGCCCGTCGTCGGGTCCAGGTGTAAGAATGGGAACGTTTGCCGTGGGTTGACGGAGTCCTGAGAAGAGAAGAAGTCGTTTTCCAGCTCAAAGTCTGACAAGACGCTGTTCGCACGCATCTGCACCAGCTCCTCTTCAGTGGGAAATGAGAAGTCCAATTCGTTGCTGGTCCCACGCGTCTGCACCATCTGCTCCGCAGGGGGGAACACGAAGCTCTCCCCCATACCCATCCACCGCCCCGTATCTTCTTGCGAAGCGTGACCAGGCGACGTGAAGTCTTCCTGGGCCCCGAGCTGCGCCCCTTCCAAGACGGGCTCTCCCTGCGTGAAGTCCTGCACCTCGAGCTGCCCACCGTCGAAGGCAGGCTGTTCCAGCATGAATTCGGGCTGTGGCTCCTGTGCGACGACATCGGCACTGGTGGGCCCCTCGCGGGCGACCTTCTTCTTCTTCTTCTGAGGTCGACGCGGTGGTTTTGACGGTGTCGTATCGGGATCCTTTGTCTTTTTCAAATGGTTAACACATTTTGATTGATGTTTCAGCGATTATGCTTACCGTTTTCTTCTTGGCTTTCGTTGTCGGCGTTGGTGCCTCACGATCCTCGACAGGGGCGGGTACCGCCCGGCGCTGGACCTCTTCGTTGTCGTCGTCAGAGTCTTCGTCGCCGGTGAATATCGCGCGTCTTAGTCGCACGTCGCGAGCTACACAAAGTGAGTGGCTCGCCTGTCTCGCATGTGCTGGGGACTTACGAATGGCCTGCTGCAGGAATCTTACCAGAGGGTCTGTGATCTTCTTCTTCCAGTTTGGATGCCAGCGGTCGAACGAGAGTCCCTCAGGGGTAGTGCCAAACGGAACGCTGCAGATGATGGGATAACGTTAGCTTTGTGTACGTCCCAAAATAGTAACACTTACCACTTCACACCCACCGCGCCCTTGTTTTTGGGGACCGGTCCGCCGTATACAAGCGCACCCATCCAACCTGTCATTTTTTGAAACTCCCCCAAGAACATCTCTGCGACTTGGAGCGACTCGTCGATAGACCTTGGACGATGTCAGTCGTGGCCCAGTAAGGACAATCGCGTATAATGAATCACTCACATCTGGTACTCTTCTGGCGTTCTCTCCACAGCCTCCTCGCCCTCGGCGGCCTCGACCTTCTCTGGGACCACGACCTCCTTCTTTACCGACTCTCGTATCTCCTGCTTCAACACCTCACTTTCTTCCTCCCACAGCTCGCGGACAACGCGACGGACAATCTTCATCCGCTGGCTGCGAGCGTTCGTAACACGCTTCATTTTCAACTCGTCGTCCTCGTCGTCCACCCAAACGCCGTCATTGTCACGACACTCCGCTGCCTCGTTCAGCTGATCGTATTCCGTCTTCTTCAAGGCTGCCTGAACCTTCGCTTTGAAGAGTTTGTGGTACAGCTCCAGCACTTGATGGCGTCGGCGCATCTTCGGACGCGCCTTGAACAGCAGCGCCGCCAACGACAGCGCCGACTTCCCCACGCCGCCCTTCTGGCCTCTGATTTTCGCGTACGCGTTCCTGAACGAGTTTTTCAATTGCTACGCGTCGTAAGTTTGACGCGTTTATTTCATGCTGGTAGGAATTACTCACACCAACTCGAGTCTCGATTGCGTCGTCCAAGCGTTCCTTCTCGCCTTCAGTCAACCGGCGTGGCGGCTCTGCGTTCTCGTCTGGGTCGATTTGCTGTACAGGTAGGCCGAGGCAGGCTTCCTCAGGCCATTCGCTGAAGAACGCCTTCTTCATCTTGATCCAGAACTCGTCCGATTTTCCGCCAGCTCTTTTCAGCAAGTACTCGGGCATCCAGAGCTCGATGAACGCTTGCTGGTCGACCGGGAATTTTTTTTTAGGCGCCATGGAGCCTTCCCGAATGGTGGTTGGCAGCAATAGGAATGAATTTACAAGGCCGCTGCTCGCACGCAAATCATTTCGGGAACCCCCTCACCCCTTCCAACCTCGAACCCCCCTGCGTCCCAATCGAGCAGGGCCCAATCCTGTTTTGCAATCTCGCGATCCCATCACCTCGTATCATACAACTCCCAGTCACCACACGCTGCGCTTTTATACGTCTTCCTCCAAAATTCCTGCCCTTCGTCGTACCATGTCCTCTCCCTCTTCAGTTGCTGCCGTTAATCCCACCACAGAGCTCGCCGCACTCGCAGCTCATCTGCAGACCATCGCCGACGCCTCTGTCAAAGCCCACGGTAAGTTCTCGTCATTGGTCTTACCGCTCTTCCGCGCCCTGCTGACTTGCCTCTTCAGCTCTACTCACCAATGTCCTTCTCGGTTACTGTAAGTTCCTCCGCGTCCGTCATGTCCTAAATATTCCTGACCGTCCCCACAGCTTTTGTCCGGGTGCCATCCTTCGTCGCGGGAACCCCAATCACCCCTTCCCAGCTCGCTGCCGTCACTCCTGTGGACGAAGAAGTACAGCACTACTGGGTAGTCTTGCGCGGACTTGAGCCCGGTCTCTACCGCACTGAGTATGTCATCTTGCTGTACCCTGAACGCTTTTCGGTCCACTGATCACTTTAATGTTTTCCAGTGCGGCCGCAACCGCGCAGACCAAAGGCGTGCCCCGATCTTTCCAGCAACGCAAGGCCGGCCGGGATGAGGCCCTCGCCTTTTACGCCGCCAACTACCCCAGCTCCGTCAATAAATGGGTCGCTGTACCGGCGCCCGTTCCCGAAGCCCCCGCAGACGAAGCTCCTGTTGCCGCCCACTCTCTCGCGTAGCTAGCCCTGTATATCATGTAGCACATGTCTGTAGCACATGTCCAATACAAGCTTCTGCTAGCCCCCTCGCAAATAATAAATTAAATGACCGCTAATTAATTACGCGCGGCTTTGTTTCTTACAACCCCCCCGCGCACATCCTTTAAATATTCTGACGACCTCCACGTCGTAAACCCACACCCAAATGTCCCGCTCCTCGACTAAACGGCTCAAAAAAAGTCTGCACGAGATGAACCGCCCCATTCTGGAACTCGGCGCCACTCCTTCAGACTTGTACCTGACTCCCTTCGACCGGTAAGCTCACCATCGATGTCATCCTCCAGCGTTGACAAAATACCCAGCGCTCTCGTCCGCCTCGCAGCCAGGAACCCGCCCATCAAAATTGAAAGCCCCGAACACGCCAAGATCCTTCGCAGTCTGCTTTTGTTCCTTCGATTCGTCGCGTTCTGGAAGTATGTCCCCTTATCTGTTTCATCTTTCATTTGTCTGATCCCTGATCCCTGATTTCAAGATTTGCCTATGATATTGAATAGTACTCCCCACAGCACTGCACTCCTCCGCGGCTCCGCCCATATCTTTCATGTACATAGCTAATTTCTCTATGTCCTACCCAACGCGTAACTTCTAATTACGGCGACGTTTCTAATTATATTTGCTCTCACGAAACAGTTCACATGTCACTTCGGTTATCTACTGATCCCATCTACAAATCTGAAAGAATCTGTCGCCCCTTCCAGCCTTACGTATCATTTTATTCATCTTCCGGCTCAACCCCCTTGGCTCCAAACAGGCTCCTGAATAGCCGTGGCCAGGACATGCGTTGATACGCACTGTCC